GAGGAGTAATTAATATTAACGTAAAAGAGATTTAATGAAAAGATGCAATTATCACTTTTAATTCATATCAGTTTTGGGATATTTTACGTCTTTTTAGAAATTTAACGGAGCTATTTGCTTAATTTCATTTTTGAATATATTTTAATGAATGAAGATTCAGATTTTGTTCACAGAATAAAAATTAGCTCTTGTAGATATACGCTTTGATTAAAAATCAATAATAAAAAGTATTCATTATTAAAAGAGAGCATGAATTTTTATTAATTGCAATTAATTACTATTATTTATTATTATTTATTCATTAATTGTTTGTTAAATTGAAAAATGATGATCAAATATTATCTTTAAATATTTCTGCTAATTTTTAAACATAATTTTTTCTTTAACATATAACTAACCTTAGTCTTTGTCAACAGAATAAACTATAGATGGCTCAAATAAACTAACATTTGAGACTTGGTTCTCTGAACAGTACTGTTCTAAATCTTTCTGTTCTTGACCATATAATTTTAGTTTGAAGTCATTACTATTGTCAACTCTTCTGTAACATCTTCTGAACCTTTATTTTTAAGCCTTCATCTAAGTTTTGAGTTCAGAGCTTTCCAATTTAAAATTTTTCTTATAATTTAATTCTATGTCTTCGTTTCTTCTATATGGCCCAACAATGACGACCGTGTTAACTTCAAAAATCAAATGTTGCTTTTTTCCTTCAATTCAAAGGCCAAGCTCAATACTCTATTGTGAATTGTTTATCTAAATTAGATCTAATAGAGTTACGTTAAATTACGTTATAATCCTTATTTATAATGCTAGTAATATTTAATTTGTTTATAGAATTTATAGATATTTCGAAAATAATGCTTTAATTAAAATCACCTGAAGAAAAGAAAGCCTTTACCTACTTCATAAAATATTTAAAAACATTTATGGAACACTTTAAAAACTTTTTGAACAAAAAATATACTTTCAAATACACATAAAATGTATTGTGACTCAATACAGGGAGAAGTACATTACAGGAATTCATTTTTACTGAGATGTGGATTTGTGAACATAGTTTAGGTTCGCGTGGAAAACATCTGGAATAATTTCCCTACTGTAAAACTAAAACATAACTCTGGTTGTAAAAACTAGAATATACAGTAATTAAACAATTCCTTTTGTCCCTTTCATATAGAAACGATCAGCTGAAAATTCTGACTTTCAAAATTCTAGTTCTTATTACCCCACATTTAGTACGAAGTACAAAAATAAAAATTAAATTTAACCAAATATGTTCTTGACATGTTCTAAAGAATCATGATAAATTTATTAAGTTTTAGCAAATTTTACCATTACTTAAGAAATTTGCTCATAATTACCAAGCTTATTGGTGTTTCCATAAAGCCAGAAACACGATAAAATTTACCATATTCTGAAAGTTTTAACCATACTTTTTTTCTCAGTGAAGTAATGCTAAGCATACATCGATATTAATAACTATAAAAAAATTAAAACTTACTTTATTTAAATATTTAAATTTTCAATTATTTTTCGATAGTGATAATTATTTTTCGAATTCAAGCTTTCCCTACCGCTTACTGATCGAAGACTCAAAGAAATTTATCACAATTGCAAAATTATAATTAAGTATATATTAAAATAAATGCTGATGAAACTGGTAAATCAACATCATATCTTCGGTTTCCTGAATTTTAAAAATTACTTAATATTTATTAAAAAAAACATACTATTGAAACAGTGAAAAATATTATTTTTGATTCAAAACTAATTTAATTTAATGAAAAGAATTTTTTGTGAATAAGGATTTTCTATAAACAAAACATTCCTATGAAAAGAATAAAAATTCAAAATATTTGCATTGACATATTAATGGCAATTGTTTGTATATTAAAAATATTGTTACACATTTCTGTAATTTTCTTAAAAAATATATTGCTTCAACAAACAGAAAATTACTTTGTGTTCAAAACAAATTATTTGGCAATCATAAATAAATACTGGTGATGATGATAGTATATTAGGTATAACAAATATACTAATAAGGGAAGATGCACTGTATAATGTATTTGAAATATATAGTTTATAGAATGTTTTACCTTCCAGCAGACACCCTCTGAATACAAGCATGATATGTCACTTCAATGCCCTAATCTAATGCCCAAATTTTCAAAAGTATAAGCGTTAAATGAATGCTGATTTAAGATAACACATAATGATAAAAATTCATTTTTGCATATTTGTTAAAAAAGAGAGTGAAAAATTGTAATCAAAAAAATATTATGTAAAGAACAAACACGTAGCAAATTAAAGTGTTGATGAAATTATTAAAATAACTATCACTTCATTTGCTCCTCTAATGTATTTAGAGCATAAAGTGTAAATATAACATGTAGACACGAAGAATAAATTTCGATATAAAAATTTCAATATAAAAATTAGGAAACTAGTTACATAGATAACAACTAAAGCACTCGATTACAATGTCTTTATCAACTAAGCAGGAATTGTATCCTATGATTCTGAAGTTATTGTTTACCGCCTTTAATATTGAACGGTCCCTCATAATCAAATTTGTTCATTACCATTCTTAAACATCGAAGTTTTTCAATTTTGAAACCAATCCGGAAGGCGAAGCAACTCATCAATCAAACATTGATGCGAAATTACCTCCCTGAAGAAACTTTTTGATTGAAATTAACCTGCATTTGCGTTACATAGAGGCGACGAAAGCAATGGTTTGTCAAATCACAGGAGTACTGTAACCCACAATCCATCATATGAGGATATTTTTTTGTCTAAACAGTGTTGAACAGTCGACTAAATTCAGAGTTTACTGCTGTCAATGTTGAATTCCTAACATTATATTTTGAACCCAACCCAGAAGCTAAGCGAATTCTTGAATCAAGCAATGGCACTAACTAGCCTTCGTGGAGAATTTTTGGATGAAACTTACCCACATTTAGGTTACACAGAGGGAAAAGACCCAAAAATTTCCCACTGTTAGCCAAACAGCAAGGGAATTCTAACACGTGATCCGTCCACAAATGAGGATATTTTATGTCAGCATGCCTGTGCAAGCCGGGAGCAGAATTCGTATTAACCAATCACGACTAGGATTCGAGCCTGTGTCATTTTAATGGAAGGCGAGCTCTCAATTCCCTGAGCCACCACGACATATGAGTATATTCAATTGAAATTGTAGATTTTAAATACTTAGCCTTTTTTTTTTAAAGAAATTTAAAAATAAAAAATAACGTTTGCGTTGTTGATCTGCAGTGGTGGTGTATTCACCTTTGAAAGACTATTTACGTTTCTATACCGCAGCCCTAATGTTTTTAAATGTCTTAAGACTGTATTAAGTAAGTTAAAATCAAATCGTTACATCAAGCGTTATTAATTTTATTTATTTACATTTCTTCTTTTATTGATCCCTCCATATAAAATTAAGTTTATCCATTAAAACAAAAATGTATGCAGCTTTATATGCTTAAAACGTCATTGCTTATGATTATATATTTACAGCGTAATTAATAAAAATATCCCAAATGTAAGAAGACATTTTTTGCTGTTGGTATTAAGACATAAAATTTTTTTGAAAATTAAATCCGTGACATAACTAACTTTAATATTTCTATTAGACTATAAACGCGGAAATAAAAGAATTAAAAAAAACAAATTACGAATATTAATTTTGCTCTGATGCAATTATTAATAGTATATAGAAAAACTATACAATGAATTCCGAAATTACAGAAAGCCTTAAATATGTAAGCTTCTAGTCTTTGCCACATATCAAATAATATATATATACACAACTAATGCAACTTAAAATTAGCATTTAAATTATAAAATACTTAATAAAAATTCGAAAAAAGCACTACAGAGGAAAGGCAAGAAAAAAATCTCCAAGAACTATTTAATTATTAAATTAAATCAAAAGTCGTTTTTAATAACTGCTTTTTACTACATTTTTGTTTTATCTGAAAAACAATAAGTCCATGTAATTTTAATGTATACTTCACTTTGTTAGAGTTAACAAAAATACATTAAAATAAGATATTTTCCCACATAACTATGTATTGATATCCCTTACTGAATGTATGTTCTTGATTATCCATTTTACTTGAATTCTAATAACGTATATTTAAAAGGATAAGATTTACAAAATTTCAGTTCACCAGCTAAAGTCTAAGAGGCATGATATACTCTCAATAAAACATGGTGAATTACATTATTGGTATCTTAGACCATATAACGCAATGAGAAAAAAACTCATGATTAGTAAAGTATAAAATTGGACCGTTTCACTGTTTCAAGTTGAACAGTAGATTAATATATAAAATTTATGAGTGAATATTTTTTTAAATAATTTTCAGAATTAAAATGGAACATCTTGTCAGCATTTTGTTCTTACGATAGAGAGTCTGTAAATATTTAAGTGCCAGAAAATATTATATACTATAAAAATTAAAAGCGTATTAAAATAATACGCATAACAGAAAAAGTATGTGAGGGACATCAAAAACTTTTATTCTGCAAAATAAATTTATGTGGATAACATTGATGTTCAAAAATAATCAAGGTTCCTATAAGATGTATTCTACAATTTGAACCATGATGCCATGCAATCAAGTTTAATTTCACGTCAAGTTCCACTTTAGGTTCCAAAAAATATTATATTATGTAAAAAAACATATTTAAATAATACACATAAAAAAAACATTATGTAAGGCACATCCAAAAACTTTATTTCGCAAAATAAATGTCTGTATATAACATTGATGTTTCAAAATAATCAAGGTTCCGATAAGATGCATTCTGAAAGTTGAACCATGCAATTGAGTTTAATTTGCATAATGACTCAGATCAATTTAGAATCGAATTCAGGCTATAGTTATGAATACAAATATGCTGGATTAACAAGGTCTGAAATTTTCTAACTAATTCTAAATTCTTTTTCTTTTTTTTTTAATAATTAAATGCAGAAGATTACTTACCTCGAAAGAACACGAAACTAAAAACACTAAAAATAAATATACTAGAAAGAAATCGGATGGCCATAGATATTTCTGGATATTTCTGTTTTTGGAAAAAGTTCAATGTTTACTCCGAGAGCTATTTATATTTTCCATTTTCCACACATGAAGAAAAAGTCCTCCTTCCGGATTGCAATTGGCCGGACAGCATGAGCGCATGTTTGAAACTGAGCACAAAAAGGGTACACGATTTCATTTTAAAGGTTTCTTACTCGACTTCTGAGTCCAAATGTTGTGCATTATTTCGCCAAGACTCTTCGGTGGAGGAGGTTATTGGTTGAGAAAGTTGCCAGCAGCGCCGCCAACTCTTGCTAATCGATGGACACTCGTCTGCTGAGGGTAATATTTGGCAGACCACTCTGAGATAGTCATTAAGGAGGAACGCTTGCATTTCAATGAGAGTTAAGAATATTAAAGAATTAAGACCATTAATGAAAAAGAGAAAGAAGAGAATTTTCTTTTACTTCCTCGTTTATAAGGGACTTAGACTTACAAATTCATTTTGAAAAGGACTTACAAATTCATTTTTTTTTGTTTCAAAATAATAATTTTAAATTAAATTGTTTTACACTTTTGAGTCTACATTTTGATTCTTTTAAAAAATTAAATAAACGTTTTCATTAATTAGGTCTTCCTAAATTTAGATTTCTCAGTATATTCATTTAGGTAGTACATTTTAAAAAGTATAAATTGCAGATAATATCGTTTAATATGTGTTTGTTTTTTCCTGTTTAAAGAAAGAACTAAAAAAATTTTTTTTTAAATTTTTTGAATTGATACGCGTTAGATCATTCTAAATGTAATTAATGTATGTACAAGGGTTTAAATCGTTTGCCTCCCAATAACTAGAACCAGGTTCGAATCCCAGCTGTAACTATTTGAACTCCACTCGCAGCTCGCACTAGCTCGTACTGACGTAAAATATTCTCAATGGTAGACGAATCATGAGTTAGGATCCCCTTGCTGTTTGAAATGGGGCAAGCAAGCTTCTATTTGTGGCAATGCTAGATACAGGGCTTTCCTTGTGTTCTAAATTGTGTTCTAAATTGCAAGGCTACGGAGTTGAACTTTGAGAGTTGTAAACTCAGAACTGGGTCAGCTGTTAAACTCCAAAAATAAAATAAAATATGCAGTACAATTTTTTTTTACATTCCATTTCAATACTATATAATTATAAAAAAGGTAAATTATATTGTTTTGCTATTAATTAAAATTGTAATTATTATTGAATTAAGCTTTCTGAGAGAGTAATTAAAACATAAATGATCACGAAGAATAAACGTAATAACGAGTACCATTTAAAACATTTGCATGAAAAAATCGTTTCATGGGGCTCCAGAATCTTTTAATGAATACTTATATCACATGTAAATTAAAGATATCCTGCAACGTGACGCATCGGAGAAATATTACCTCAGAAAAATCTTACATAAAAAATGCAATATTAAATTTCAACACCATACAAAACATTGTGAGAAATCTTGCAAAAAAAATCGAATTATGCAATTAATCTAACTCATTTTTTTTTAAATAATTAAGGAAACTAGCCTTTTTTTAACTTGACTAATTAAAAAAAGACGTTAGGCTTGTTCGTAATATGTAGAAAGCTCCATTTTACCATTTTCACTATTAAAACATAACAGATATGTTTGAAATGAATTCATATGCTACTATTTTTCTGTCAACTGCTTATTAAATGCAAAATTATCGAATTATATGTAAAAAAAGAAACATATTTTTCAATGCAAGTGAATTAAATTATTTATAAATAATTGAAAAAATTATCCTTTTTTCGTCTTTACTATGTAAAAAAAAAGCATACTATGTTTGGAAGCTGGGTCAGTTCTCAATATGTAAAAAGTGCTATTTTACAGTTACCTGTATTAAACAATATTCATATGCTAGTATTTTGCTACCAACTGTTTATTAAAAGCAACATAAAAATATTGATATGCAAGAACAATAGGTAAAAAAGAAAATTTTATTCCAAATCATTGTTTGCAAGATATTTAAATCTGAGTTTCAAACGAAACCTTTAATATAGGCTAAAACTTCAATAAACACAATTTTGGGTTATTAAGAACTTCGTCTTGCTAAAAAAAATCAAATATTTATTTTTGCACAACATCTCGTTATCTTAAATTTATCTGTAATTGTGTAACATACACAAATACAGAAATAATGCTTCAAAAACTTATTTCAATTCAGTTTTACTTTTAACTTTACTTTATTCAATTTTATTTTTAATTGGAAATGTACAAACGCATTGAAAAGTTTTAAATTAACAAAGTATTCTGCTAAAAAGATAAAAACTAAAACTTGGCTATTTTTCGCTATAAATATGTAAGTTTGGAGCTAACAATTTAACTTCACGACAAACATCACTTAAAATTAAAGTATAACCCTTAATTGGAAAACTTAGTTTTAATTTTAATATGATATTTTCTAACAAACTTGTAAGGAACAAAAATGAGTTTCCTATTCGGATATGTCTTTATGACAGCCGATAATATGCAAATTCGATGAAAACAAGTAAGTAACACTGAGAAAAAAAAGTAAGATCAAAACTACCAGTATAGGGTAAATTTTACCATATTTCTGGCTCTATAGGATCACAAGAAAGCCCGGTAATTTTTACCAAGCACTTTGGCAATGATTTTGGTAAAATTTAAAATAAATTATAGCTTTATAATATATGATAAATTTCGTTAAATGCTATTAAATTTGTTAATTTTATCATGATACATTAGACGCAAAAAACATTTATTTGGTTAAATTTACTTTTTTGTTTTGTATTTTTTTACTATATGTGTGATAATAAGAACAAGAATTCTGAAAACCAGATTTCCCCGTAAACTAATACAAAGTAATACTATGCAAACACGAAACTAACCAAATAACTGGTTTAAATATCGTATGGTTTGATTTCATCAATCAGAATTGTTATTTTTCACCATACAATTACGATTTTTTACCAGAGTTTTTCCACCGTATAAAAACTGCATCATATTTAATGTTGAAAATTAACGTAAATTTTTATTTTTTATTTTTAATGTTTAACGTCAAAAAAATTGGTTTTTTTTTTAATAAATTATTAAATTGTTGAGCTGCAACTGTATTTAAATCATCTCGAATGTAATGATTAATTTAATTCTTTCCACTCTATTTTTTCATTAAAAATAAATAGGTTACTTATTTTGGTAAGCTGAATAACCCGTCATTGTTCAATGTTTAGTATTAGCTTCGACTTCCTTTCAAGTTTTCTTTTTCGTATACAAGATAAAAAACAAAGCAGTTTCCCTCCTTTGAGTTAGATTATATTAAAGACTAATGCAAGATACATAAAGCCCGGGGTCATAGAAAAATATAGAAATAAACCTTCATAAACTAGATCAGGCATGTTGTGGTTTTATTGGTTTTCCAAATTGTTCTGGCGACTCATTAACGTGACGCCAACTGACATTCAGAACACGAGGAAAGAAAGGAAAGAAAATGAAGTAAGGAAAAATGGTCAGCGCTGCATTCAGTTCTGTGGTCAGACCAACAGAAGATATTGACTGGCCGCAGGTCTTTTATCTGTCTTTTCTATAAGTTGGCACTTTATCTCATTCTACATGTCGTGTGTCCTAATGAACCGATAAAGTTGGATCTTTAGACCATAGCCGTGGGCTTATTCTTGGTCTGCTGTCAAAGCAAAGAACTGTTTGATAGAAGGTTAGCTTAGTATTTCACTGTTTACCCTTTGCAAACTCAGTTTCAAAGGATAGTATTTGCTTTCTGGTCACAGTTAATAGAAAACAAGAATCTAAAGAATTACATAAGGCTATTTAATTTTTTTTCACCTATATTTCTCACCTCTTGGTAAGGATACAGAGGAACAACATGTCTAAGCAATATTTATTGTAAGACCTCTTTATTTCGTACAAAAATTAATTTACCGAAACTTGGCAATTTAGATGGGAAAAAATGACACTTTACTAAACAGACTTCGTATTCTTTTCAGTATAAAATATCTATACCCCAAAGTCTATTCATGTGTCAGAAAAAGAAACTAGGATAAAAAATAACTAAATATTGATGGTTGAAAACATTTATAAATTGAATAAATATTGATGGAAGTATTGATGGATGGATACTATTTTATAAAGAAGAAGGAATCCTCCCTGGTTGGACATGTTCGTTCACTTTCCAACTTTAAAACTGGTTTCACCCAATGGGATTCCTGCAAGAGACGTAGTGTTGGTTCTCTATCCTGATAACATTTGCTTACGTTCATCCGTTCTTCAGCTGTTCTTTCCAGTTTATTTCGAGTAAGCCAAGCCTGTCAAGTATTAATTCTCTTGAGTGGCAGATTCTATATTTTTACAAAGATTCTTTCACAAATATTCCAATTCTTACACTATATATTTCTTACTTAATAAAAATACAGGCATGAAGCTATGTTGAACATAAACTGACTAATTATGCGAGGAAGTTGCCAGGTACACAAAACAAAAACATATCATGGTTACGATAAAGTACAAAAACAAATAATAAATCTAAGTTGAGTAAAAGACATAGACGAGAAAGAATTATATTTCAACATCACATGCGTGGGTATCCGTTATATTCTTCTTCTTGAAGTGCAAGTACCCAATTCCAATTTATTTCTTGATTTAATTAAGGTGTAGACGGTCTTTTCGCTTTCTTCCTTAAGCTATTTACATAAAATATTCATATATAGTATATCTTTTCAATATAGTCTCAGTTATAATTTAATATATAATATCTCTACATTTAAGGTATTTCATAAAAACTAACACAAATAAATATTTCAAATGTTAAATAAAATTAAAATTAAAATTTTTTTTAAAATTAAACCTATGAAGGGTATTTTCAGAAATTTGTAGTTTCAAACATAAACAGAAAAATACTACTGAAAATAAATTTTTATATAAATATGCTGTATTATTTTTTTTAATATTTTTAGTGTGTTTGTTGTACTAAGAAATTAATAAAGACATATTTTTCTTTATTATTTCGTTTTATAACTACTATATATTTCTATTTTATTATTTTCTTTTATAATACTATACTGTTTCAGATTCGCTGTTTAAATATTTCTAATGTAAGTAGATTTGTAAATTCATCAAGTTTAAGGTTTCACTTTATTTACATACTTTATGTTTAAGTGGGACCAAAAACTTTTTTGAGCAAATTTGATACCAGGGGTCTGTTTAGAAGCGGACCCTTCACAAAATATCTTTTCATAAAAATGGACCCTTCACAAATTTGCTTATTTTCCTTATTGTTTGGT